GTGTTGAAAAATACGTATATAAATACATACAAGTGGAAGAGTTTTTTTTTTTTAACAGTTGATATTTATTCAGGATTAACAGGTATACTGCTACCTATGTGGCAGCTTGAGCTGGTTTTTAATATAGGGGATAACAAAGTGTTGGTATAAAGGTTACAATACAAATACACTATATCTATTCATTAACAGTTTAAATTACATCAGACTTCAAAGGTGTTACATATATCTTAACGGGAGATCGTGTGGAATCTTTTGAGTCTTCTCCTTCTTGGTCTCCAGGTTAGCCTCTTCGACAGGGAGTTAGGATGATTGCCAAGGGGTCTGAAGTAGCTTTCAGCATGCGTTCGACAAACATAGACTATCATTGGGATTTGTAGATCTCTTTCTATGTCTCTGGTTCTTATGTACCATGGGACATTACAAATCGATCTAACAATCTTGCTTTGCGCTACACGAATTTTGTTTAGGTTCGACTTAGACGCTACGCCGTAGACCTGTAGTGCATATTTCCAGTTTGGACCGATAATCGATTTGTAAATTCGTACTTTGTTGGACAAAGAAAGCTTATTTCTTGCCGTGAGTAGCCAGGACATACTTGCTGCCCTTGAAAGCACTGACTGCTTCACCATTGTTGTGTGCCTCTGGAAGGTGAGCCCTCTATCCAAAATCACACCAAGGTACTTGTAGTGTGACTCGTGACGAAGTTCAAAACCGAGCATGGAAATGCCTGGGAAGTTTGTGGAGAATGTGACACAAGCACATTTGTTGCAGTTTATGCCTATGTTCCAGTCGGTTGTCCATTTTTCAAAACTTGATACGTACTCCTGCAGGCCTAAGGTTGCAACGCCTATGGATTCCGGACCATAATCGCTGGGTCGTCAGCGTATGTTGCGATTAGTATGTCATCATCGTCAACTTCAGTACAACACCAGGAATCTGGCATATCTGACGTATACAGTGAGTAGAGTGCCGGGCCTAGTACACTGCCTTGTGGTACACCCGCTGAGATTGGACGTTTTGACGACTTTTCACCATCGACAACAACACTAAATTTCCTATCCGATAAAAAGCTCTGTATGAGGAGGAAAATCTTTAGCTTGCTTAGGAGACCGTCGTGCCATACCCTAACAAAGGATTGTTGGCTACACAGGAACTGTGTACATTTTGCTTTCCATGGCTTTTAGAGCGAAATTAATCACGCGATGAAGCTGTTCAGGGGTGCCGTGACTTTTTCGGAAACCAAACTGCCACCTTGGGATAGCTCTGCTCACATTTTCAAGCCGAAGAATCCAATCCAGTATTACTCTTTCCATCATTTTGCCCAGTTCTACTTCGGTGGGTTGCTTTCCAGGCTTTGGAATCATTGTAATAATAGCACTTGTCCATGTACTTGGGTAGTGACTCAGCCATAGGACGCTGTAGAACAACAGAACTATAAACCGCTGTGCTTTTGTGGAAAGAATCTTGAGCGATTTGTTGTCTATAAGGTCCTCGCCTGGCGCTTTTTTGTTTTTGAGCTTTCCGAGGTTTAAGGGTTTAAATCTGTCCTCTAGATTGTCAGCAAAGATATTGGCCTTCTGCTGACTGGAGTCACACCAACCACCATCTGAGTTTCTGATTGGAGCCTTCGAAGTAACCTGTCTCTTAAATCGATTCGTGAGCTTTCAAAGAGAGTAGTTAGTTGATGCATCTGGACTCGCATTTTCCAACATATGGTCAATTTGATCCTGCTTGTTCCTATTCAAGACTTTGCTTAATCGATTTGAAAGTCTCTTGTAAATGTTGTGGACGCGCACATCTCCTGTTCTTGTGTATTCTCGACGAACTCTTCTTTTCAGCTGTATGAGTACTAATGCAAGAGTTATATTGATATTCACACATTAGATAGAAAGGGATCTCAAAAGGCAACGGCAACGGAGCCCTCTTTCGCCCATCTTTTCTCTTTTATGCACGCGTCATATTAGCGTCACTTCAGTTTATGACAACGAGTTAGTGCGGTTCATAAGATCTAATCAATGTGTTCTTATTTATCTGGTTGCTTGTGGCGACAATTCTTTTTAAAGATTTCTATACGAAATAAATCACTTTTTCCTGTCTTGAAATTGAACTCTAAATTGGTGCTCACTACAATAAGTTAAGTTAGTTAATACCCCTTTAATACACAAGTTGGGCCCACGAAGAAATTAAATTAAGCACCCAAAGCGATTCACTTTTTTTCTTTTAATTATTAGCAAGTATATTAAAAAAAAATGTTTAAAAAAGTTGAAAGATGGGCCGAAATTATTAGAAAAACGCCACAGATTAACTTTCAACTTTAAACATTCTATACCTTTATAGCCGATTCGCGGAATTAAATAGTGTGGTACATTCGGAATTTTATCATCAGAAGAGGACATGTGGCCCAGTGATACATATTCCTCCATGAAATCCAGATACATTTTCTTTAACGAAAGATCTTTAGACAATCCCATTTAAATCGACAAGAATCTACGTTTCGCAACTTTATACCACGAACCAATTTATTTGGGTCAGATTTGAATGGCAGACGAACCGAAAATCTCCCAGACGACAGTCTTTGAGTATTTTTTCTTAAAGTGTTGTTCACAAAGTTGCTGCTCAGGAGTATGGACTTCAGCCTTGGCGACAAGTTCTCCACAGACCAAAATTTCTGCAGGGTGGTGTCGATTGACTCCATCTCAATTGAATATTTTCAGGTACCATCCACCAGCTGGTGTTCACCGCTTGATCCGGATGATAACCAGAAATATTTTTTAAATCATAAAAATCGGACGACTACTGACTACTGCCAATAGAATATTTTCAGGTACCATCCACCCGCTGGTGTTCACCGCTTGATCCGTATGATAATCAGAAATATTTATTAAAACATAAAAATCGGACGAAAACTGACTGCTTCCTATTCGCGACTTCACTATTGTGCGTATTTTTTTTTTTGGTGCTTGAGCACTAGTTTCACCAATGCCCCCGCAACAGCATTACCTAAGAGCGAGGCTGCTAAACCCCGTTAGCAATGGGAAATTCAACGCAAAGGGATTTGTCAAAACGCTGCTCAACGGTTAACCCATGGCGATTTTGATTTCAATTATCATTTCATCACAAATTTCAACACTATTATACTTATTTCTTTAATATACGAGTATATTTTTTCTTTTTTAAAGTTCAACTTAAATTTGTAGTTACTCCTTCTAGGTGAGCCTCAAAAACAAACAAAAAATAAGTGAATTAAGTTAAAGAAATACAATTTTAAGAATTGCAAGAAAAGGCAAAACCATATATGTTTGAAGAAAAAAAATTGGAAAAAACAGAAGCTATATGAATATAAAGATTTTTCTTTTGCGGGTAAATTTCGCAAAGCCATTAGCCATCAGTTTATTTAAATACTATAGGGTTACAAAAACACTAATTCTTTTACAGCGACCTAAAGCAGAGATCGATCTTTCACCTATGGATATACCGTGATTGGTTTATTCATTTATGTAAATACACTGAGAATAATATTTCTTTAGTAGTGAACAAATTTTAATAACTTATGTCACGTTAATACTTTATTCATCATTCTTCATACCACCAAAACAAACCTGAACTAATATACCATGAATTTTATTTATACTATTTAAGAACCTGAACTTGGTTATTACCTAATACCCTAGCAAATTAATAGTATCCAAAAACCCCAACCAAGTAATAGTCGATTCGATTCTTTTTATTAAATGCAAATTGTTTTTTTCCCATCTAGCCACGCCCACCCTAATGCCCACAAAGCCCAGAAAACCAAAAATACAAAAAATCTCGGGACCTATGCGAGCTAGAAAGTTATGCTTAAGAACACGTTTTTAAGAGATGTCAATGCAACTTTTCACGAGTTTTCATACGGCCACGTTTACTTTAACACCTAAAAACCGTGGAAAACTGTGACGTCTATAATATTATTATGAATGCTTTTGTTTGACCTTGTATAACTTATTTCCGTAAATATATATCGATTTACAAAAGATCTTTTAATCGGAGAAACCTTGTGAATTTCCACTAGCAAAATGAATGTTTTAAAATTGCGTAAAACAGTAACAGGTATCTTATAGTGGTGGAACTCGACTATAGCGTTCTCTCTTGTTTTATTTCGGACTAGATGGGAAAAAATAATTCGTATTGGGGGCATCATAAAAACTACATGCTTAATCCAAATTTCCATAACATATAGTTACCGAAATATCACCCTTTCTACAAAAAGCGAAAACGGGCTTGGCGGGCGTAAGAGTGCGCCTGGAAGTATAATGGTACCACCTTGAGATGCGATGGCATCTTACATACAGATTATACAGGCGTAATACCAATTTTCTAGCTCTTATTGTTCCTGACATTGCAGCGATTGCACGCATTGCAGCGTGGCAGAATGCTGAAATACACTTCTGCTGCTTAGGGACCTTGCTTAATCGCAACTTTGTATTTCTTATAGTTCCTGAGATCTCAGCGTTCATACGGACAGATAGGCGGACAGACGGGCATGGCTAAATCGACTTCTCTATTGATCCTGATCAAGAATATATACACTTTATAGGGTCAGAATTTTTGCATATGTACATTAAATAGTGAACGGCAAATCAAAAAATATTTGAAGTCCTCAAGCCATTTTCTTACTTTCTGAATCACTCTTGGCTTAACAAAGAACTCATTCCTTAAAGATTTGTGTTTTTTAACAGACATTTAAGCATTTAATCTCAGTATTGTATAAGAGGTAAAAGGTAAAAATAGTTTTCCCGTTTATCGAAAGTAAGAACTAATGTAGCGATATTTATGGTTCAATATAACCTGACCAAGAATCTTTACATTAACTAACACATGTTCGGCAAGTATGACCAATTTGAATATCAACATGTGTAATATATTATATGAATATGCATATGTACATATGTATTCTTATTATTTATCGGCATTGCATTCCGAGTCGATAAGTACATATCTATGTAAATATATCGAATTGCTCACCCTTCTTTTCATCCCTCATGAATATATCAGAAATAGCTATTATTCTTACTGCACTTAGATAACCGGATAATTATATTTGTCTTCTGTGCTTCTGCGCAATCGTCAAGATACTGTGTCCGTATAAAAGCCAGATGGAAAATTATCCAATTAGAATAGCTAACAATATGGGGTCGGGTCAATTCCTGATATATTTTTGCTGCTCGTGGCTTATGCTATGCAAAAGTATTTCGGAGGGCAGAGACGCATGGCTTCGCCCTGGATGCCACAAAGTTGGAAATACACGAAAGATTTCTATTCCTGATTGCGTAGAGTTTACCATAACAACAAATGCGTGCCGCGGGTTCTGCGAGTCCTATTCAGTTCCCTCTGTTTCATGGGCAGGTGCATCATTGGCTGTTTTATCCAAACCACCGAAGCCAGTGGTGAGTGTTGGACAATGCTGCAATATAATGAAGTCAGAGGAGGTAAGTGGCTTAAAATTCTGTACACTTTCAAAATTAATTATCAGCCAATTTTTCAGATACAACGCCGCGTATTATGTATTGATGGTATTCGAAGTGTCACCTTCAAAAGTGCTGTGACGTGCAGCTGTTATCACTGTAAAAAGGATTAGATTCAAACAGTATTATACGACCTTAGCCATTTGTAAATTTTATTTAAATTTGCCTTGGTGCTTATAAGATAAAATAGACACACTCTTAAGAATGTTTCTCAGGCAAATATATCTTGAGAGACAAAGGCGTAAATTGTACTTTTGTAAGAATATATAGGAAGCTTCCACTAAGGCTAACACATTTTTAGTATGATTGATATTACATTATATATGCTATAACATCATGGGGCTAATAGTCAGGAATTTAAAAGGAGCGACAAAGCGACCATATAAGACGAACTTGCCGTTTCTATATAAGAAATAAAAATAGATTAAATTCCTCTTTTGAAGGTTTAAATTATATTTTCTGCTTTACATTTATTCAAAGAGACTATGTCTTATCCAATTTTAATATAATTTTTTTGTTACATGAAGATGACACAGCGCCACTATTTGTCAGGAAAATCATGTTTAATAAGTAAACTGCCCATGTGAGGCCTTATAACCTACATCCCTTAATATGTCGCGAAATAATATTCCGATATAAAATTGTTTTGCTATATGTAGGCAAGAGTGGGCGTGACTGGATAATATTACAACCTTAAGATGCGCTGCCAGTTCAAGATTATTCATGCTTAATCCCAAATTTCCAGCTCTTCTGTCTCTCTCTCTTATAAGTTCTGAGATCTCATTGAATTTATTTTGTTTTCATTTGTGGACGTTACTTTCAACTTCTAACTTCAATAGTTCCGAAGATTGTACGTACTAATTATTACACATAACTCCCTTATTAATTTAATACAAGAAATAAACGCTATAGTCGAGTGCCGCGACTATAAGTGTGGACGGTCAAACATTTTAATCAATAGGCAGAAGAAGTATTGTAAGGAAAATTTAGTATTTGTTAAGTTATCCAATCTCGTATGAATTTCTTGGCCCCTTGAAGTGCGGACCTACTAATATTATATAAAAAGTTCAACTGAAGTCTGAAGTTAATTACAGAGTATTATCGAAATATATTACCGAGAATAAAAAGAACATTCACACAACTTTGCTAACAAACAGCAAGGTCCATTAAGTCGTACCTAAGGGTAACGCCGAAGTAACGCCTGCAGAGATAACAAAGGCACTACAAGAAAAGGGATTTAGCGCTAGGACAGTCTTCAATATCCTTAACAGTGATACAAAGCCGTAGCCACTCTTTATGGTTAAGCTCGAACCAGAAAATCCTGAAAAAACTAAGTGCACCCTTTATACAACCTTCAGTTCCTGCTGCACCGCAGAATTACAGTTGAGGAACCGCACAAACGCAATCGCCCGGTACAATGCGCGAATATGGCCATACAAAGTCATACTGTAAGCTGCGCCCGGTGTGTGTAGTTTGTGGAGAGCTTCATGACTCCGCATACTACTCAGCGAGCAAAGATCTCTACAACTCGAAAAAATGCGGCAACTGCGATGGTTTATAGTTTATAAGGCGCTGAATTGTCGCATCCACCAGAGAGGGATTACTGACAGAACCAAAAATAAACAGCCTTCAGACCAAACCCTGAAGTCTTCTCTTCGACTGCAGCCGAATCCTGACTAGGACCCATAAACTCTGCCAAAAATGTGACACACGCAAGTGCTTTAAAATCAGGACTGGCTACCCCTGCCTCGAAAAGCTAATTTCCGCAATCAGCATACCAAGACCGAACACGGCTCAGCAGCATCAATCGCCGGAGCACCCAAAAAGCAACTTTAAAGCTTTGATATGTAGCCTACAACAAAGCCTTACAGAATGGACATCGCTTATGCGGACAGCTATGCAAGATCTGATGCGAAACCCAAATCTATTGATTCAAATGCTGGTTTTACAACAATCCAAATAATGGCATCCCTACGGGTACCTACGTTAAACACTTTTCGCCGCATAAACTCGAGCTATCTCAATTCCTACTTGACTATCATATCGACGTAATGCTGCTTTCAGAAACACACCTTACAAACAGATACAATTTTGAACTACGACGATTCCTCATCATACGGAGGAAATGATCCAAATGGTAAAGCACATAGTGGGACTGGAACTATAATAAGAAGCCGTATTAAGGACAACTATCAGAAAAAAGTTTCTAAAAACACCTACAGGCCACATCTAAATAAAAACTGGGAAGCAATTTACACTAGCCGCCGTATACTGCCCCCCTCGCTTCACTGCTAATATCACTTCACTTACTATTATTATTATAATTAAAATTGACCTCACAGAAAACCAATTGGGTTAATTCACTGGAGTCTGTATTGTGCAGCTCGAGCTTCAACACCTTAAACTATAAACACACAATGCAATCAAAATAAGACAAATCTACAAATCGAACAGCTCGTCCTCGAAAACCGACGCTTACGTCGACAGTGGCAATTTCATAGATCGCCATCTGCTACAAAGCTTAAGACCGAAAGAAACCGTGATGCCTATTAGAAATTCCACGACGGCTGGGCGCGCAGTGACGCAGACAGAGCCAGCATGTTTGCCAACCACCTTAAAAATGCCGACTTTACAACATGAGCACAATGCCTCAACGTGTGCGAATTGAGTTTCGCTCAAACGAAATCGTTACCATCATCCAAAATCAAATGAATCAGAAAAAACCCCCCGGCTGCAACTTTATAACTCCCAAAATGATCATTGAGTTCCCATATTTTGCCGCTAGCACTCTCACCCAGCTTTTCAATGCCATCGCAAAAATTGTCCACTTTCCAGTGAAATGGAAAAAGTCAATTATAATAATGATAGAAAAGCCAGAAAAAGACCACACATTCCCACGTCGTATAGAACTATAAGCCTACTCTCAACCTTATCTAAACGCTTTGAAAAATGCGTAATGACTCGGATAAACACATACCTGAGAATCCAGGAAGGAATCCCGTCTCATTAATTTGGGAGATAACATCATCCGGATAACACCAGAAAAACGAGAGTACTGTACTGTATTTTTAGATGTCTCTCAAGCATTTGATAAAGTCTGGCTATCAGGTCTAATGTACAAGATCAAGACAATGCCCCCCTACAGCACCCACAAACTTTTAGACTCTTACCTTCACGACAGAAAATTTGTTGTGAGGTGCAACATTGCTATATCTGATGATTACATTGCTGGAGGTGGAGTTCCTCAAGTTAGCGTGCTAGGGCTAACATTATATGTCCTCTGCACAGCAGACATCCCGACAAGCGTCGTTTGCCGATCATACAGCCGATGATTCTTTAATGCTTCTAATTCTTCTAATGCCCTTAGGGCTCTCTAGGATTCTATCCTATTGGAATTTCGCAGTCTTTTTTGAGTACTATTGTGGCCATGTTGCTTACAGCGGACCAATTTACTTCAGATTCAAGCATTATTTCCACCAGGTTACAAGCGGCTGGCGCCCTCCCAACCCTTATACTCAGATCTCGACGTTCTTTTTCAAATTTCGGACAGACAAAAAACACATGTTCTGTGTCATAGTTATCCGAATGGCAGAGTGGGCAGTGCGGATAACGTTCATGCTAAAACCTATTCAGATAGTATTTAAAGCATCCGTGTCCTGTCAGAAGTTGCGTTAAGTAGTAGTCCACATGTCCATGCTTACGTCCCAGCCATCTCTGCAGATCTGGGATGAGCTTTTACGTCCATCGTCCTTTGCTACTATTTACCCACCTCTCTTGCCATTTAGAGATGGTGAGCTCTCTGCACCTTTTGCGTAGGGATTCAGCGGTGGCGACCCCTGTGCTACCTGCGCGGATATTAGCAGATTCCTCTGCTAACAGATCAATCGGTATGATTCCCGCTATTACCATTGCCGCGTCATAGGATACCGTGCGAAAGGCACAGCATACCCGCAGGGCACACAATCTCTGTACAGAGTCGCCATCCTGCCTGCAGCTTCCATTTTTTGTGGCTCGGGCCCATATGGGAGCAGCATACATCAGCGTCGATGTGACAACGATAACAAGTAATCTGCGTCCTGGTTGCCTCGGTCCCCGAGTGTTCGCCATGATTCGCGAAATCGCTGCCGCCGTTCTACCTGCCTTCCCACTGGCGTAGGCTAAATGGTCTTTAAAGGAAAGCCGGTGGTCGATCATGCCTCCTAGGTACTTTAGACTTGGGCTTTATCAATCTGTTACGCAACTTCTTCTTATATCGCAATGTATATTGGGTTTCAAGTGTAGACGTTCTCCTGATGGCGAATAACTATTGAAGTAAGGTTTTCAAATCATTAAGAGAAACAATATACTCAAAGTCAGTACAGAAATCGTCAATCCTTTTTTCTAATACATCTTCCTACAATGTTAGATTGTTTTTACCGGAAAAAAAAGAATAAAATTTAATAAATTGTAATACTTACCCTGTTTATTTAAAAAATATTTACAAGTTTTTAATAATTTCTCGACGTTTTTGAAGATTTCTTGTAGTAGATAGGGAGTATGCTAACCTACACATCTTTGAGAACTGCCATAATTCTCATCATCATCCTCATAAACAGTGGTTTCACAATCACTCCAACGTACCTCTTTTGTTGGAAGTTAAGTGTTCTCCACATTTTTAGAAAATCCTCCGACTACCTCCTATTGTTGTTGCAATTGTTGTTGATCCATATTATCCTTGTTGGTTTTTTAAGAATTATAGGAAAATTTATTGCTTACTCGAACAAAATTTGACTTTAAACTGACTTCAAATTGAACTGTCTAGCGCTATTTATTGAAGGATTACTATTAGGATTTGTTTTGCATGCGGTTTCCTTTCATTATATAACAACGCACGTGTAAAACGCATTTATTGCATTTCACAACAATATTAAATAGCATTTATTTATCATCTAACCATTAGAATTTATATATATGTATATACTACACAGAGTTTTCATTCTCCGTCGTTGTTTATGTCAATGAAAATTGATATTAATAACTTTTTATACACTTTGCATACACTTTGTATTACATTATGTTGTATTAGATAGATGATGTCGATCTAAAAAAAAAACAAAGAAAATTAATAATGCATTAGCTCATGGTATACATTGATTATACGGAAACGGATGTGTGCGTGTGAGATTTGATTTAAATTAAAACGTATTTATTGTATTTATTTCACAACAATTTTAAATAGCATTTATTTATCATCATCATATAGAATGGTTATAATAAACATTATATATATACATATATGTATATACCATTCAGAGTTCGAATTCTCCGTCGGAAGGAAATTGATATTGATTACTTTGTATACACTTTGTATTACATTGTACTGTGTTAGATAGATGACGTCGACCTAGAATGAAACAAAGAAAATGAATAAAATGTAGTAGTGCAATATATATTTCTACATTGTTGTTGTTGCAAAGAAAATTTCGCAGAATTTATAATTTAATAATTTAATTTATAAATCATCATGTTCATCAATTTGTTGAATGTGTATGCAATATTGTTGTTCAATTTGATTAAGGGTAATATTCAAATTGTCAATATGTTCAATCGCATATGTATATTTTGCATTTTTTCCTTAGCCAAGGGGGAGATTATTAAGATATTTTTGAATGAAATAAATAATTTTGTTTGCTAACGTCATATTTTTTTGTCGTTGTATTTATAAAGTATTTATATGCAAGACCTGTTCTTAATCATTGATGTTATACGTTCCAATGTTTTTTTCTGACTGTGTGTTTTGAGAGGTGGATCTGATTTCATCATTATTATTATTATTATTATTAAAATCATGATTTTTTTTCGTTCTAACATGTTTCGATTGTTAACAACATTATATTGATAAAAGTAAATTCGTAATATTTTATTTATTTAATCGTTATGATTACTACATCGAATATCAACAACACTTCTAGAGTATGGAGTTTTGAAATATCTATGAAACACAGTGGACGTATCAATTATTCCACCAATATCCCGTTCTTTTTTAATTAAGTTTTGACGAAAGTTTTCATCAGCATCCTTGATTGAGGGGAAATAATTTGGCATTCGTTCGTATACCACATTTCGTTAAAATCTATTGACATATAGATTTTGCTGCTGCTGCTGTTGTTGTTGTTGAATCATTTCCATAAATGTGGTCACTTATTCCAAACCCATATACAACTAATGGTAAGACTATAATTATTTACATTTTTATTAATTTATTGTCCGTGTGATTATATATGTACTTTCACGTTGGGTGATTGCTAGATCTAGTTTTATAAAATTGTGTATGCATAGGTAAAATATATTGTTTTTACTCTTTCTAATCAGTTACGAGTATATGATAAGATCTTTTGTTATCTCTCTCTCTCTCCCTCTCGGTTTGTAAATAATTGTTGATGTCTTCGTTAAGTATAACTTGATTTATGTCGATTGCTTTTTCAAACAACAATTTGCTCAATCTCACCGTTCGCCAAAATTTTTTTCATTCTCTTTTTCGTGTTTGGTGTTGTTGTTGTTGTTGGTTCTCTCAGTAGCTCGAATGTAAGATTTATTTTCAAAAATTTAAAATCAACCGTTATTATTCATTTATACATTTAAATTTTATCTCCGTAGATTGTAGTTGTTTAGGTGAGGGGCCATTGTGCCGCCGCTCATCCACGCTGAAGAGCGCATCCGCGCTGAAGAGCGCATCCACGCTGAAGAGCGCATCCGCCCTCGCCCCTCTCTGCACAATCTTGCACTCTCGCTTTCTCGGGTCCAACTGCAGCGGTCGGCCGTCGGCGATCGTCTTTTTTCTTATGCTAAGCTATGTTAAGTTAGTTTTTCTGTATGAAGTGAATAAAGTGGACGGCTTACTCCACGACGCCCCGACTTCATCTTATCTGCAATCAAGAGGCATCTTTTTGTGGCAACACCGCCCCATTACAACATTTTGGTCCTGGGAGCCGAATTTTCTGGATATTCTGGAAACTTTTTCTACCAGCAGTTCCCGGCAGTGTTCCGCCAAATGATAAGTGCGACATTTTTTTCCGTCTCCGTCTCTCTGCTGGTCTTCAGCAGTGGTCCGAATATTAAATTTCGTTCACACTGCTGCAAGATTTGGTTTTCCTTCCGTGTCAACTCCAAGTCCGAGTTTTCCGACACAACGGCAGTGTGAGATTTTCTACTCTTCTTCGACTTCAAATTCTGCCAATTTTTCCATCCGACTCCGTTTTGTGTGCCGCCATATTCCTCGCCGTTTTCGGCCTCCCCGTTATTTGCTATTCCGCTATTCGCTTGCCAACGGTTGAGGCATATGTGCATACATATAATATACACACATACAACCATACATTTTCTTTTTTTTTGGTGCAATTAATCCGCGAAAAATTGACCAAGTGAACAGTGAAATTGTGTGGTGACAAAAATAAGGCATAATTAATATTGGCCAGCCGGTGTGATTTATTTCTAAAAATTCCTAAATTCATTTAACAGTCCGCCGCTGGCGTAATATTTTTTTTCCAATCAGTGTTTTTTTTTTACACCACACAGCTTTCTGTTCCTCCATTTATACAGTCCACAGTCCACTGTGCCATCCTAGGCCTCACGTGCATACATATACTTACATATATACATACTTGCATGCCTCCAATTTCTGCCTCCAATTTCAGGAAATAAATACATGACAAAATTAAATTGAAATTAAATCTGTTTAAAAAAAAAAAACGCCATTTCACTACAAATCCGTGATTGTGTCGCCTAAGTTCTCAACCTCGCCCCTCAGTAGCCGTGTTGTGTTTTTTTTTGTGCTGTTTTTTTTCCTTTGGGGTGAAATATGAACGGTACTTGTCCATTCTCCCTGCCTTTAGCGCAGCTTCTACTCCGCATCAGGCAACATCCGCCTACAATCTCAACAAACCTCGTCTAATTCTGGGTTGTTTTTTTTGGTTGCTGAAGTTTTGTTTTCACATTCGATTTGTGCCGCACACGATCTTCCTTTCGCCATCTGCGCCGCTAGTGCCCACTAGTTCCTTGTGATCGCAATCCATCCGCGATCTCACCGTTCTCATCACTTTAGTGTGAACGGCCACCGCTTCGAAAAAGGCCCCTATTGCGCAAGTCAGCCGACAATCGCTGACCAGCGAATTGATTTTTGAGAATGCCCACGGGAGACGACAAAAATCCGCGTCCGATCCCAGCCATCAGTTTGGACAGATCTCAATCCGCATCTCCGCGGACGCCTCTTTTGAAGCCTAAGGCGACCAGGGCCATTCCAAGGGCAAAGAGTGACGAAAACATCAATACAATCCCCGATCCTTCACAGAGGCAGACTCGCTCCGTTGTAAAAATGGCTCAAAGTGCGGTAGAAGTGGCGCTGAAAAAGTTCATCGCCACAACAGACCGAATTAGCCAATTTGAGGCCAACATCAATACCCCGGGGGCCCCAGAAACGGAAGTAGGCTCCCAATACATGTGCGAAGTCCATCGAGACCAAATTCGGGCACTCTGGGAGAAGGTGGAGAAGTGCTATGAGAGCTGCTCCGATTTGCTAGCCGTGTCCGACGACAATTCGGCCACCTCAGCAGTGCTGGAATCGAAGTACAGCTACTGTTACTCCGTATATTCGAGGTGTATTGCCCAGCTTCGGGAGAAAATTGCCTCCCAATCCACTCAGGCTTCCGTCAATGTCCACACGCCCGCGTCTACTGGCTGTCGGTTACCTTTAGTGGATACCGAGGTCTTTGCGGGTGATTATCTTCGGTGGCCCACCTTTGGAGACTTGTTTACGGCCATTTACATCCAAAACTCGCGGCTCACCCCGGTAGAGAAGTGGTTCCACTTGCTGTCCAAAACAAGTGGTGACGCACACGCCATTGTTGCTAAGGCTCCGCTTACCCATGAGGGGTTTGTCGGAGCGTGGCAAAGCCTCACAGACCGTTTTGAGAACCGGCGGCTGTTAGTCAATAGCCAGTTGAAGATCCTTTTCAATCTCCAGGCTATTTCTCAAGAGTCCGGGGTCGCGCTGAGGGAACTGCAAGCCACCATTCAGAGTTGTCTGACAGCCCTAGAAATGTCTGCCATCAATGTTGAGGCTTGGGATTGTCTCCTGGTCTTTATGATTTCCTCGAAGCTCCCCAAGGTCACCCTTTCTATGTGGGAGCAATCCGTACATAATAAGGCCGAAATTCCAACATGGAAGGAATTAGATAACTTCCTGACAGAGCGCCATCGCACTCTGGAGGCCATCGACGACGTCAGGCCTAGTGGCTCCGGGCAATCTCCGCCGAGGTAGGGACTTCCTACTGCCCCTGCACGGAGGCTCAATTCGTACGGGATGCGATCTCTGTTCGAGGGAGAACCACCCTATCCGCTTATGTCCGCGTTTCCTAGAAATGAACGTGGACGGGCGCTCCGACTAATTTAAGAGGAAGCAGTTATGCTTAAACTGTTTTGCCCGAGGGCACCAACAGCGAGACTGCACGAGCGCCCATACCTGCTTCACATGCCACAGCCGACACCACACCCTCCTGCACCGCGGCAATCCGTTCGCTACCGCTCCAAGTCCGCCTACTCCAGCAAGGGCTCGACCCGCACAAACTGCCAGAAGCACAAACGGCTCGGAGGATCAGTCGGATGTGCAGGTGTGCTTCGCTTCCGGGTCTGGAGCAGTCCTACTGGGCACGGCCTTTATCAACGTGTGTCATTTGGGGTGCAGTTTCCAGGCACGAGCACTGATAGACTCAGGGTCCGAAGCGACGTTCATAACTGAACGACTGTTCAACCTTGTCAAGCTCCCCTTCAAGACGAGCCCAAGTGTCCGGTCTTAATCACACCATTTCCGCGCAGTCTACTAAATTGTGCCATTTCTCCATTCGGTCGCTGTCTAGACCCGGGTTACAATTAGAGACTGCGGCAGGAAATCTGCCATCATATCCGATTCCGCGGGATCGTCTCAAGGGGCTGCCCGACATTCCCCTGGCGGACCCCAACTTCTTTGAAAGCTCCCAAGTCGATGTGTTAATAGGAGCTGACATTCTTCCATCCATTCTCCTCGGTAATACCAGGGCTAACATCTGCGGGTCACTTCTCGGTCAGGAAACCATTTTTGGATGGGTGCTGACAGGCCCATTATCTCCAGCCAACCCTCGCAGCGTGTCCGTTTTTTCCACACGAGTTGCCCGTAGCCTCGGTGACTCGCTGGATCAGCCCCTCACCAAATTTTGGGAGGGTGAGGATGTGCCCACACAGATCAATTCGGAATCGGATTCAGTTTGCGAGCACAACTTTGTCCAGACGACGAGAAGAGACGAGTGTGGCAAGTACGTTGAGACGCTCCCCTTACGCGACCCCGAGCAGAAGGGTTTCGAGCTATCGGCTTCA